GCATCCATACATGCTAGACTCTGAGAATGCAAAGGCAAGGTGTGATACCTGCTTCCTAGAAAATCATATTCTGCAAATGGAAAGGCATGTTTTAAATTCAATTGTAATACACTGTAGCAAACATTGCAAGGCAGGCATGAAGAAAATGCTAGGGAATCCCAGAAAATGTTAAGTCTATTTCTACCAACAAGAATTACAATGTCTTCAAAGTTATATTATCTTTGTATTGAAACTCCTCATGAAGAGACGTTTGCATCACAAAAGGGAAGGGAGGGACTTCTAAGTAGCAGTGATATCATTTCTTATATTTTGTATGTCTGATAGTTTAGGGGTATTTTGTATACTAAGCAAATGATTGTTTTTAGTCAATTTTTATTATTTATCTTACTTGAGGTATTGGCATCATGTTATAAATGTCTCTATGTCAAAAATGTATAACTGTCAAAGGGAGACTCATGCTGAAATCCTAGTGGTCCCACTTACTTTCTTTGGAAGATTAGAAAACATACCCATTGGTGGGTCCCCAACACCAAACAGGTAAGTGTAAATGTTTCAAGGATTGCTCTGAAGATTAAAAGATACAAGATATACAAGGCACCTACAACCTGGTAAACATCCAAAGTTGTTACTTGTTAAAATTCCTATATTTAGTCAGTATCATGCGTGCAATAATGAAAGCTCAAGCAAAAGTCCAAAAGAATGGAATAAGAATTGCTAAGGGGGGAAAGGACAAGACAAGTAGTTCATAAACTGAATAATTAGTCCCCAGACACAAGTTTCACTGTAGTTATAACATTCTTGCTGCCAATTTTAAAGCGTCTATCCTCAGGAAATACCTAGCAGGTAACAAAGGAGAAGGGGAAATGGTACACAAAGAATTGAAATTTAAGTATACTTTCCCAAATGTCTCATATGTCTTTGGCTTTCTATATTATTTTAAACATTCTTTCCAGCTATAAACACTAAATGAAGATAGCAGATCTCGGAGATTGCAAGAAAGTCCATGATGGAGTTTGAACTCCTTCAAAAACAAGAGGGCACTGTCATCGGCATCCCCATATAATGCTTTTGGAGGAAGTGCAAAGATTGTTGAAATAAGCAGAAGTCTCTGGTTAACTCTCACCTATATGTGCAATGCCAGGGTAAACCAGGTGTTTTCAGATTACATCAGGGAGGAGCAGAATAATTTCACATAGGCAATGACACAATAGGATTTTCCAGATTAGCACTCATCCACAGCGTGGTAGAAACCCCAGCTGCCACTCAAATTCCTTCAAATTCAGGAATTCCCCAAGGAATGCCCTGTGTACTGCCTGATTCAATAGTCCTGACTACACACAATAACCTTCTTCTTTCCTTCCTGTCTTTGTAACTTGAATCTACAGATCACATATCAGCTCTTCCTTTTTGCAAAACAGCTACAGTGAGTGCCCCAGTGCTGATATCACCGCTGGGGCTCCACACCAAAGAGGGAGACTATGGCCCTCCCCTCCAGCTGGTCTTGGTATCTGTGGTTTTCACTTCAGTATAAACTGGTTTAGGCAAGGCAGTTTGAACCCCTTCTTCTTGTTGCCCTGGATGGTGGTAATTCAGTAGTGTCCTACTAGCTCGCCCATCTAAAGGAGAGGCAATGTCCTATCTCCAAGTGTGTGCTCCATTTGTCCTATTCTACCTGGTACAAAACATTCATGCTGCTCTGCCATATGACTAAGTATATGATGGAGAATAACAAATTGCCGTCTGAGTTTCTCAGCGACATACCTATGTGATAAATGCCAGTGACTGTTGGAAATATTTTGATAAAATTTCATGGGGTCATTAGAGTGGAAAATGAGACTCCAAAGGCATTTTCCAAAGCAGATGTGTAAGACTATAAAAAATAAAAAAGGAGAAGAAAGTGCAACATAAAGAAGAAGAGATAAGCAGATATTGAAGGAAGGTATACAGTATCACATAACCTGTCCAGTAATCTCTACATTTTAGCTCATTCTGCTAATTCCAGTACGCTGTCCTAAAATCTTGCCTAATTAGATTTATTGAGAAAGTGATAACATTCTGTACTAGCTGTTCCAGATTGACATTGCTATGGCCTGAATTTTCAGAAATCTTAGAAAGACTTAGACCACTCCCAATGAGGGAATTAGAATTTTCTAAGTAAAACTATTCATATCTCAATGGCAAAAAGATTAACACAAGATAAAAATTTAAAAAAGTTTTTGTAACTTCTTCTTCCCTCTGGAACTCTGGGAAAGTCACATAGAATGGGAGGTGGAGAAAACATTCTGCATAGAACTCAACCTTTACACAGAATCATCCTGCCTGATTGATCACCCCTTATCCTTGGACCCAAATTATGCTTCTGACAGTCTTTTCCTTTAAATTGAAGCTTCACCTTAAAAGTCATAATCCATAAGCAAATTTGTTCTATTTGTCTTTCAGATTTGTCAGGATATGTCTGAATTTTTAATAGGTACCTTACCTCTTTTATTTAGAACCACTATTCTTTACATTTCCTTTGCAAATCATTCAGGTAATATCAGTAAATCAGAGGCACAGAAGGATTCTCTTAGAGAAACATAAGAAATACTTCACCTCAAAATTCTCTAACTTGGCTGTCCTCCAACACTGTCAGATAACCAGAAGTCCAGATTTGGTCATGTCCTTGAACAACAGTACTGTGCCAGCTGATATTTTTCTCTTTGCACCTCCTTAAAGAGAGTTTTTAAAGAACTATATCTTAATAATATACTTTTCCTTTCTTTTAGGACCCAAAAAATCCTGACAATTTGTTACGCATTTGAATTTACAAGCTTATAATGAAGATGGTGGCTTTTGTATTTTTCAGTGTGTACAGTGCAAAATCCCATGTAATAAACTATGTTCTTAGCTAGATAATCTTTCTCATAGTTAAGCTGAAAATTTTTATTCGAACTAGAAGAAAATAATTATCTTATTTGCTGTGCTTATTGGAGTGATTAGGAAATTCAGTCATAATCTTTGTATTTAGTTCCAATATTTTAGCTTTAAATTTTCTAACATAATTGATTTGAATAAGCCCTACTTAATTATTATTTAGTTGCTGCTTGTTTGTTTTTGTTTTCTATCATTTTTAAGATATAGGGCTGGAGATATAGTTCAGTGGCACAAGTGCCTGCCTAGCAAGTGCAAGGGCCTAAGTTCGATTCCCGGTACCAAAAGAAAAAAAAAAGAAAAAACTCACACACATAAATACATTTTTAAGATAGACTTTATCATGCTTTTAAGAATAAGTGGTGGTGTTTATGTCTGTATGTATTCAGAATTTTTTGTCAAAAAATTTTGCAAATCCAGAGAACTGTGTGTTACACAATCGTTTGGTAAACTTGCCAGCAAATTTTGGACAAATCACAATCCCTGTATAAATACCCCATCTTCTGACTGTTATATGACCATATTCAAGTAGACAAATACTTTAGTATTTTTAACTCTCAGATTTTATCATTCCCTAGTCTTGTTTTGACAAACAGCCTCATAACTCTGAGAAAGAATGGAATAGCTTAGGTCACTGTTAAAAAATTTCACTGAAACAATTCTAAAGTTATTTGTCACTTCCCCAAGAAGCCTTCCCTGAGCACACTATCTAATGTCTTCTCTTCCACTAATGTGTCATTAGTCTCTTCTACAGTTTTCTTTTGATTACCTACATAAGAAGGTAGCTTCTTTCTTTATCTCTTGTTCATTGTCGCTCTCCCAGCCAACTTTCGTGAAAATAAGACCCATAGTGATTAGTTCACTGAGGTGACAGCAGGATGCAAAGCAAAGACTTGATATACCAGTTGTCAATAGTCGTACGTGAATAAATAAATGAAGGATTTCCCATGAGTCAACAGCTTTATCTTATTTAACGCTACTTGTTTTTCATACTTTTAGAATTGTTGTTAAGTAGAAAAATATTTCCAAGTAATTTTAAATTTAATAAGAACTTTTTTTTCAAACTACAAATAACTGTATGTGAAAGTAAGGCAGCTGAAATTATGGTAGCAGTAGATGATCTCTAAAAAGGAAAAAATATCCTTGATAAAAATAGTTCATAAACATATTTTATTGTATACATATAACAGATAATAATCTTGTTTCTTTGTGTGCATTTAAAATGTCTTAATTCTGTTCCATTACTTTTCCTATCATTTAAAAGAGAGTTTAGGGTTATAGCTCAGCAGCTCAAGTGCCTATCTGGCAGACACAAGGTCCTGAGTTTGATTCCCAATACCTTTAGAAAAAAATAAAATAAAAAATAAAAAAGAGTTTAAACAGTTATATAATATGTTCTGTATGACATATAAAGGAACACCAAAAGAAAGGATCATGAAATCATTTTAAACAAGTATTACTTTTGTATATTGTTTTATATATATTTAATTTACATGCTAATAGAAGAAAAATAAGTATAATATCGACCTCTATTCTCATGGGGATTTTGTAGAAATCAAAGAAAACAAAACCACTGTTAAGGGCTTAGAATGACTTCCAACTAAGTTAGCTATATGTTTGTAATGTAGTTTTAGAATATATATTTTTCAGAAAAGAATTGTTCAAATACATATTCCACACTTAATTTTGATAACTCATATATTAAAACAAAAATTATAAAGCTTCTCCTTTTTCTGGCTCTTAGGTAAAAGTTTCTTATAGAGAATCACATTGAAAATAATATACTTCAGACATTTGCATTACATTCTAACAAGGAAGAACTAAAACTCAACTTTAGAGCATATACAGAGTGTCTATAAAATAGAAGTTCAGAATACTTGCAGTGAATTCAAGTATCAGTTTGGAGTGAATAGGTCAATTAAGTAAAAAACAAATAAGACATAAAGTCAATTTATGCCTCTTTCTCACTGATGGAAGTAAGATTAGTCATGGTAAAACATATTTAGTTTGAAAAAAACACACTTCACTTCTTAGAAAAAACTAAATTGAATCAAAAGGTAACTTCAAAAACTTAAAATATATTTACTTACATTGGTTTAATTAAAGAGGTGATTAACTATCTTTCCACTGGACATTAAAGTCACCCGCCTTCGCTTGCATGTCTCAGTCTGAAGGATCATGAGGTTCCAGCACCGTCAGAAGCCACGTCAGCCTGGTGTGACAGAGCTTATGAGTCACCCCTTTTCTTCTTCTAAATTTCCAGGCTGGTATGACCTTGGGAAGGGCCAATGAGATCCATGCAGTCTGCTGGCCTTCAACTCCTTTGACCTGGATTGTTGAGTGCTTCAGTGTTTCTGGATTTCCCCACTGTCTTGTTCGGCTGTTGTTCTTGAGGCTGATATGCTCTCTCATCATGAGAACCCAGAGTGTGTGGCCCTGTCCTGGTCCTTCTACTGGGCTGATTTCATCAGTTTGCACATTGCATGGAATGTCTTGGTGTATTCGCCTCTGTAGACACGTGCAGAAAGAGCCTTCTCTCACCCAGTTCCTGGCATTTAGGTGTTTTAGGGTCACAGAGTTTAGCGATGATGCCCTGGGAAAGACACACACTGGCCTTTGACTCTCACCACTTGGTTCAAACTTTGACCCTCATGCCTCCTGCCCGGAAGTTGTGATTGTCATGGCCTGAAGGTTATGTCCTTCTTGTAACCCTCATCAAAAGGGTTACATCTTGTAACCCCACAAAAGAATTATGTCCATCTTGTAACCCTCATCAAGTTGTTTTTAAGAGGAAGGACTTTTAAAAATAATTAGGTCATGAAGGGAGAACATCCATGCTTGAGATTAAAGTCCCCTTAAGAAGAGAAATGAATGAGATGATTCTTCCCTTAGCCGTGGGAGCCTACAACAAGAGGATGGCCACCTACTCTCCAGGAGAAGATTCAGACCCTTTCCAGAGCATACCAGATCTGCCAGTGACTTGGCCTTGGCCTTTCCAAATGCCTGAACTTTGGAAATTAAATGTGTATTGCTTAAAGACCCAAATCTCAGGTATTTTGTTACAGTGGCCCAAACAGATTCTTTGGTCTCTATGGCAGATAGCCCCATATTGGTCCACACAAGGGTCTTTCAGACTTGCACAAAACATTTTAAAACTTTGGCAGAAATCTGAAACTGAAAGAAAATGGCGGCCTTCAAAAATTAAATAATTACAAACGTGCAATAGTAATGCATATAGTTTTGGGATTTAACTCATATTTAACTAAAATTTGTCAAACAAATAGGAGGAGTTAATATACCCATTCTACAGATGAGAAATTTGAAGCTCAATTAGTGTGATTATGTGGCATGTTCATAATTGTTTTGAATATAATGAAATAGTGTAGTGGTGAATGTATTGGCCTGAAAGTCAGAAAATGTAAGGTCTAATTCTGGCCCTTTACTTATTGATTAACTGGTAGATTTGAGACAAATTACTTATTTACCTAATTACTTATTTACTAATTACTTATTTACCTAAGCTGCAAATAATAATTATTGTTACCAGAAATACTACCTGCATTATTAGTAAAATGATGCTATTGAGATGATTAAATGAAATAACGTATATGTGAGAGCTTTTCAATTTCCAAAGTGTTCATAAGTGCAGCATTTAAATTTTTTTTGCTTCACACCATTTTACAGAAACAAGCTTTTCAATCTCAAAGAATTGAGAATATTAATAGCTTTACATGTGCAATTGGAAAAGTATACACATTCTTCATGTCATTTAAATCCCTGTTACATTTAAACAACAGTAGAAGTTACAGAGATATGATTTTGAGGATTTATCTACAAACTGTAGTCTATTGCCCTGGTTCCTCTAAAGGATATTAATGTGTGAAGTATTCTATTTAAGAATTTCTTTTTGATCCAGCTCCTTTGAAGCCATTACAAAAGTACAGATCTTAGCAGCTATTAGACATCATCAGTTCAATCCATGGCTTCTCATATCAGATGTGTAAATATTAACTGGAATTTTGAGTCTTACATGATAACATAAACCAAATTCATTGTCTCAATCTATTTTTTCATAATAAATGAATTATAAAACTTGGTCATAGCTGCTCAGGCATTTGTCATCCTTCTGCTGTCTTGCAGTTCTAGGGAGATGAAGAGCAAAATCATGGCCACTCTCAATAACTGCTAGTATCAATTACATTCTGTGATTATTACCTGTCCAAACAAAAATATGACATCCTTATGCTCTTAATATATATGCATGTATTAAATGTGTGAGAAAAGTTTGTTGTCCAAGAGTCGTATCAAATTTTTAAAGACTGTTCATTCAGATGTCTTAGACCATAAACAATAGGGCTATCATTAATTCAAGGAAAATAAAGATAAAATTCAAAGGACTATAATCAAAAGATGAAAGGAACAGTGAGTGAGAGAGAGAGAGAGAGAGAGAGAGAGAGAGAGAGAGAGAGAGAGAGATGGGTAAATGGATAGGCTTAACATGCTTACCAAGAAAGCTTTATTTTTTGTGCAACAAACACTTGTCCAAAACCACTGCAGCAAGTCAAACACTAAGTAGTGGGTTCAACTGAATGACTTTACAAGTTTTTTCCTTACCAATCTTGTTGAAAACAAGACCATAATCCCTTCAGAAGACAGAAAAGCTGCTTAATGAATGCTAGAATTTGATAATTTGAGCAACTTCACTGAAGATAACAATATGTAATATAGCAACCACTGTTAATTCCTATCATTTTGTTTTGAAACCTTGTAGCATTTTTACTGTTTTTGCTTTGCTTTGTTTTTGTCCATGTTGTTATTTTTTATTCTCTTTAAAATAAAAAAATACTAGAACTTGAAGAAGCAGAGAAGAAGAAAAGGCAATAGACAGTCTAACCTCAATTAGTCTCCAAATGAGACTTCATTATTTTTAAATATATCAACTGAATATTTCACTTAAGAATGCACAAAAATCACAGACTCTTATTTTAAATAGCTTTCACTAACTTATTCTAGTACACATTCCAACTCCACAATCCGTTGTTTTTGTGAATGTTGGCATATTAAAAATCGAATGCAATTTTGAACTTATTGTTGACCAATCTTTTTCTTTACTTACCAAGACCTAGTTAAACATTAGTTTTGGTGATGTCCTATTCAATCTGTTGGTTATACATATCCTATCCTTTCTGTCACTACTGTTATCCATCCGAGCCTAGTTATTCACTTTCCTACCTACATCATTTCCATGATTGTTTCCAACTATCTGAATAATGCCACACAATGGCACTTGGAGATACGTGTAGATGAGAGAGAGAGAGAGAGAGAGAGAGAGAGAGAGAGAGAGAGAGAGAGAGAGAGATCTCAAACAACTACTTTTAACTTCTTTACCCACATACGAGTTCAAATGTTTGGTGGCCAAATTGTTTGTAGATGTGTAGAAGAGACTATATAGAAGGTAGACACTTAAATATCAGTAATAAATTAAAAGGTAATAACATTTTCTCTGGCCCCGCTCCAAACAATTGCCATCTCTTTCCTGGATAATGATAGCAGTCTCCGCACTGGTCTTTCTGCCTCTTACAGTTCATTTTTAACACCGTCACAAATGTGATCTGTGTATATCTATGTATATCATTTTCTCTATCCATTCTTCTGTTGATGGCCATAGGGAGTACTAATCAGTCATAATGAGGAACAAATTTGAGGTATTTGTAGGGAAATGGAAAGATCTTGACACTTTCATGTTAAGTAAAATAACTCAGAAACAGAAGGCTAAATATCCCATAGTTTCTTTAACGTGAAAAACTCAAAATATTAATCATTTAAGAAGGAAATAAAAGAGCATTAGTAAGAAACATGAGGTAGACTCCATGGAGGTCTGGATTAGATCTTGGGGAAGTACAGGGAGGAGAGGGAAGGAGACACGGAGGACTTCAAATGATCAATATGTGAAATTGATATGCACCAATTGTCTAAGATGAATGTGTTTGTTACACACCAAAAAATTAATAAAAAGGTAAATAAATTAAAAAAGAAAACTAGCAAACCAAAAAAATCTCACTGAGATTTTGCAAATAATGATAATAATAATAATAATAATAAAGTGAACTTTTAAGGTACATATGAAATATAGTTGCGTCATACATGACATTTTAAAAACGCACCACACATGTGACAGTGGCCCTATTGGATTATATTGTCTATGGATACAGTAGTCATTTTAGTTTCTATGAGAATATTTTATCATACAATAATGAAATCTCCTAAGAGCACATTTCTCCAAATCTGTCCCCATCATTAAGTGGTGCCCGACTACATGCATATATTCACTTGTTCCACTATTAGATCCAGCAGCAGTGGCAAACCACAACCAGACCTTGGTTTCTCCAATAAAAGAACTAGGACTCTTTAGAAGTGACTGATTCCATAACTATGGTGGGTGACATGGAAGACAGCCTAGAGCATAGTGTAGTATAAGAAAATAAGGATGTATTCCATTACCCTCAGCCGTGTACAGACAACATACATCAAATGAGGATATGTCAAAGAGACACAGGAGTCAGTGGAAAGTTCTCAAGCACAAATCTAGAATGACTGTAGTGTACATAAACCACAAAGTATTAGATTATAGCCCAAATAGTACAACAAAGACCCATAGATGAATAACTCAATAAATGAACAAGAATTAATTCTCTCCTGCAAGTGTGGAAATAATTTTGTAAATAATCACTCCTCAAGTCACACAACTTCTCATCCTTTGAGTTTAGGCTACAAATAGTGACTTTCCTCTAGAATTCCTTTCATTCTAAAGACTGAAAATAAATTTTCAGTGGTAAAATATAACAAACCCTTCTTCAGTCCATTAAGATTAACACTGAGAAGTCACGCTTGCATCATATAGGCTTCATGTAACATGTCAACAATATTTTTCTTCTGTGATTTTCCTCCAAAAAAGTCTGTAATTCTCTAACAATAAGATGATCATCTGGCAAATCCATATTGAGAAACATTTTGTAAAATATCTGACCAGTTTCTTTAAATTCCCAAGATCATCAAAAACAAAGTCATAGAAACATTCATTACCTAGAGAAGCCCAAGGACATGGGATGATGAAATGTGATATACCCTAAATTTAAACCTCAAACAAAAAAAGACACTTGGTAAAAACTAAGAAAATGTGA